ACACACACACACACACACACACACACACACACACACACACACACATACATACACACACATACATGGAGCTCTGCTGCACACTGAGATTGGATATCTTGACATCAGATGCTCCTTTAGATACAGTTTGTGTCTCAACACTAAGATCTGATCTGAGTTCAGTCAAAGTAAGATGTGTTAGTGAACAGGTGTGCTGGTGAACAGGTGTGTTGGTGAACAGGTGTGCTGGTGAACAGGTGTGCTGCTGGTGAACAGGTGTGCTGGTGAACAGGTGTGCTGGTGAACAGGTGTGTTGGTCAACAGGTGTGTTGGTGAACAGGGGTTAGTGAACAGGTGGACTCACCCCGTTAGCGGTGCTGACGGCCTGGTAGTAGATCCCATAACTCTTATGAGGCAGCAGAGGAGCGTTCCAGTAACCGCTGTAGGTTCTGTTATCACCTGTAGACACACAAACAGGTAACCAGGCTAACCCTTACCTGTTAACTCCAACAAGCCTGTTCATTTAGTAACTAACTAACTAAGTAAGTAACTAAGTAACTAAGTATAAGTAAGTAACTAAGTAACTAGCTAACTAAGAAAAAGTAAGTAACTATGTAAGTAACTAAGTAAGTAACTATGTAAGTAACTAAGTAAGTAACGAACTAACCAGCTAATTAACTAACTAACTAGAAGTAAGTAACTAAGTAACTAACTAACAAACGAACAAACTAACTAACTAACTTAGTAAGGAAATAAGTAAGTAACTAGCTAACTAGCTAATTAAGCTAGTAACAAACTAGCTAACTAACTAGATAAGTAACTAAGTAAGTAAGTAACTAAGTAAGTAAGTAAGTAACTAACTAGTGGTGTGAGTGTGTGCGTGACTGACCCACACAAAAGGGCATCGGCGCTCTCAGCTCGCTCATCAGCAGCTCTGCACTGAAGTAATACTGAGAGTTGAGCAGCGTGGCGTTCTGGAAGTGGATCGGAACCGGATAACAGCGCAGGATCTCTGCAGTACCTCTCCTCTGTCTGCGAGGGCGCTCCTCCTCCACCACCACCTGGTACTTACTGCAGACACACACAGACAGACAGGTTGAATACATCACATTTAGGTTAAAGAATAAATCCTCTGGTAGTTTTGTTCATCAGAGACATATTTTGAGTAACAGTGCTAACAGTGCTAAGGTATAACTGCCGCACTACAGTTATTAGTTATTGATCAGATATTAATAATGTGAATGTTTATTACACTCCTTTATATCTTTATATAGATGATAGTTATTGATCAGATATTAATAATGTGAATGTTTATTACTCCTCTATATCTTTATATAGATGATAGATATTGATCAAATATTAATAATGTGGATGTTTATTACTCCTCTATATCTTTATATAGATGATAGTTATTGATCAGATATTAATAATCTGGATGTTATTGACTGGATTTATATTATAAATGCTCTCGTCGTCTTCTCCTCCATCTGTTGGTTCATTATTCAGCTCCACAGAAAGGTCAGCTCTGCCTCTCCTCCATCACTCCTTCATCTTTATTAACTCTCTGCATGTGGAGGCTGTAACTTTGGAACAGTGTGACATTAAACTGATAATTCATTCCATCCTGTCTGAGCAGGTAGTAAATCCTGAATGTCTCTAAAGGACACACAGACAGGAAAGTAATGGAACGAGTTCCAAATGAAGAATCATCAATTTGTTTGTGAACTAATTATGATTGAAAATAAATTCCTGTTCAGCAGTTCTGCTGTGAGCAGAAGCTCTTTATAGGACAAATAAATAGCATCTATGTGTTCGTCTGAAGGAGGAGAGGAGCCATCCCATAAACAATGCTGGTTACCACGGTGATTTAAAGCTGCCGTATGGTTTCAGTCTGCTGAGCAAAACAACTCAACTCTTGAGAATTCAATGGAAACTTTATCTGATCTGAAAAAATCTACCGACTCCACAAAAACTCTACCGACTCCACAAAAACTCTACCCACTCCACAAAAACTCTACCCACTCCACAAAATTCAATAAAACTGTAAAAATCTTTTCAAGCTTGATGAAAACTTGGAAGGCTCTACAGCGTTTGTGTCCTGCGGGAAACGTTGGAAACAATAGTTGTGTTTTTCACATATATGTCATATATCTCTCTCACTCTCTCTCACACACACACACACACACACACACACACACACACACACACACACACACACACACAGTTTTAACGGGTGTGAACGGTGAAACTACAGTATTGTCACATTTCCTGCTGGATAGGAAACTAAAGGAGGACAGGAAGACACACACACACACACAAACTGTAAAAACACACACACACTGCAGTATCCGTGTTGTTTAATTCCCCACAGAAAGGAGCAGAAAAGAGAAAGATTCAATAATTTCTTCATTCTTTCCTTCTTTCTCCTCCCCCTCACTTCTCTCTCTCTTCATCTCTTTTCTTTCTCGCTCTGTCTTTGACAAACCGTCTCCAATCACATTTCTATACGGCGTGTGTGTGTGTGTCTGACAATAATCTGATTACAGCTGCAGGTCGCTCACGGCAACACCTTTTGTCCTGCGATGTGAGGGTCTTATAAATGAGCATGTGTTGTACAGTGTATGTGTGTTGGTGTGTGTTGAGGCCCCCGAGGGCCAAAACTCACTCTGGTGTCAGAGAGACAAAAGCAAAGTTAAATATAAACACACACAAACATGTAATCATATCTCTGAGCAGCATCTGTTCAATCTGATGGATTTCACAGAAACTATCATGTCAATTAACACACCACACGTCTGTGTGTCGCGCACACACACACACACACACACACACACACACACACACACACACACACACACACACACACACACACACACACACTCTTTTCATCTCTCCTCTTGTTCTTGAATGAAAAAGAATGAAACATAAATCTTCGATTCGGTTGAAATTATCCTTTTTCTCGTTTTCAGTCGACATGTGTTTTTTAAAAGCGCTCCGTTCTCCCAGGATGCCTGAAGGAGCCACCAGCTGTGTGTTTGTTTCGTTTTACTTCTAACAAGGAGAAGAGACCTCATGGGGGGCGGGGATTACATCATCATATTTGAGTGTCGATGCACTCACAGTGAAGTGAACCAAATCATCTTCCACACGTGTAGAACATGTAGCATATGTAGAACATGTAGCACATGAATGTTACAGCAGCAAGACATACCAAGAAGCAAAGTAACAGAGTAACCTTAATACTTAATATTTTGGTTATTCTGTTACTTTGCTTCTTGGTATGTCTTGCTGCTGTAACATACAAATGAATAAAGTACATATCTATCTATCTATCTATCTATCTATCTATGAAGAACATGTAGCACATATAGGACATGCGGGACATGTAACACATGTAGGACATGTAGCACATGTAGGACATGTAACATATGTAGCACATGTAACCAGAAACCTAAAACCAGCCCGTTAGTTCAGACTCCTTGTTGTCACATGACGTTGATCAGGAAAATAAAAGCATATCTTCCTGTCTCTTATGCTTTTATTGTGGCACAATGAGTTGTTTATTGTTCATTTATTAACCGTCAGTTCATAATTAGAGATGAAGTGAAGCCTCTTTGTGTTTCCTGTCAGCTCTGTGTGTGTGTGACACATTAGCTGGTAATCCCTTGTTAATCCCTGGTGTTAGCAGCAGCTCTGAGCTGATCGTTAATTAACTAAATCCTTTGTTACGGCCCGACGACGGAGAGCAGACAGCTGTTGACATGACGACTGTTACCGTAGATACGCCTCCCTCCGGACCCCGACAACGGGGATTGACCCATACGTTTGTTTATTATTAATATTATTATTATCGTCATTATTATCATTATTATTATCTACAGTTAAGTTTTAGAAGGAAGAAGAACAACGGCTGATTGTTTTAATCTTTAATAAACAAACAGTATTATTATAATATATAATATAGTATTTATATATACATATAAAGACAGTTTGTTTAAAATCTGTCACATTTGAATGAATTTATCATAATTTAACATAAAAACAAAAAATGATTTCAAAGTGACAGTTTTTCTTCTTCATGTCGTGTTTTAGTGTTTAACGTCTCAGATATGAAACATTTATCAAGCAGAAGACTGAAAACATGAATATTTAAACATCTGTGTGTGTGTGTTAATGTGTGTGTGTGTGTGTGTGTGTTACCTGACTGGAGCTCCTCTACTCTGAGCTGGTTTCAGTAGAACCGTCACGGTGGACTCGGTCTGGTTCAGAGGAGACTCCTGATCGTAGGCCGGCATCAGAGGAGCTGAGGAGGAGTGAGTCACTGTTACAACAGGTTTAGCCCAGGACCAGCACCAGGATAAAGACCAGGACCAGGATGTAGAACATCCATATTTTGTAATGTACTTGTAGACTTCATATCAGTAAAGGTTTATATCAGACACATCAAAGAGTATCTGGGTATTGATTAGGCCCCTATGGGCCCCTGAGGCCCCTATGGACCCCTGAGGCCCCTGAGCCTGTACCGGTGGACCCCGTTAGTAATCCCTCGATGAACACTGACCTGAGATCTTGGTGGTGAACTGGGTGATGACTGGAGGCCCAAAGCCTTTGACAGTAGAGGCTCTTATTGTGAAGGAGTAGGTGGAGCCTGGGTAGAGGCCGGAGAACACGTGGCTTGTCTCATTGGCCGGTTTGAACACTTTCCCGCTCTGATTGGACAAGTCGAACTCAGTGTCGAAGGAGCTCAAGGCTTTATAGGAGATCTGAGGACGAGAACCCGGGATTGTGGGTAAAGAACATCTGAATGTGGTTTGAATTGACTGATGAAGGACAGATGAGGAGGGACAGACAGAGACAAAGAGGACGAACTGAGGACAGATGTGGAGGGACAGACAGAGGACAGATGTGGAGGGACAGACAGAGGACAGATATGGAGGGACAGACTGAGGACAGATGTGAGGGACAGACAAAGGACAGATGTGAGGGACAGACAAAGGACAGATGTGGAGGGACAGACAGATGGAGAGATGTGGACAGAGGACAGATGTGGACAGACAGAGGACAGTGGAGGTCTACCTCGTACTGGCGGATCCGTCCGTAAGTCTGAACCGGTTCCCTCCAGCTCAGACTGATCTGCTGCTCGTAGCTGCTGCCGAGGATCGAGTCCAAGGGGACGGATCCGGGAACTGAGACGGAGACATTTTATTAGTTTAACTTTTATTCAGAGACGAGTTGAAACCACAAAGAAGTTCACGTCTTTTCTCGTACCGTCCTCGTCCGTCAGCACCAGCAGCTCCTCGCTCTCCTTCCGTCCCTCCGGGTTACTGAGGACGAGTCTCAGGCTCACATTGGTGAACGGAGGAAGGTTTCGTACGAGGTGCTGGGGGACGGAGCTCAGGGTGTCGTAGACCAGGTCCTCCTTCACGGGGTCCCTGTAGGACAGACAGAAGGATATGGAGGTCAACATGTCCTCCACCTTTCTTTAAATGTCTGTCCCTCCCTGTCTTTACCCGGTGCCCCCCCCCTTTCTCCCTGTCTGTCCCCGTCCCTGTGTCTACCTGTCTGTCCCTGTCCCCCTGTCTGTCCCCCTGTTTGTCTCCGTCCCCCTCTCAACCTGTCTGTCACCTGTCTGTCCCCCTGTCACCTGTCTATCCTCGTCCCCCTGTCTACCTGCTGGCGGTCCCTGCAGGTCTGTAGTGGTACTGGACCGTCAGGTTGTAGCTGTAGCAGCGGGTCACGTTGTATCCGAACGGTTCCCATCGTAGCGTCACCTGTTTGGACTGAATGTCCACGACCTCGAGACGTCGGGGGCCATGCATCGGGTCTAAGAGACAAAAACACAGGATCAGGGACTCTGTGGTCTCTAAGAACCTCCATCAGGGTCTAAGAGACACAAACACAGGGTCAGGGACTCTGTGGTCTCCAATAACCTCCATCAGGGTCTAAGAGACACAAACACAGGATCAGGGACTCTGTGGTCTCTAAGAACCTCCATCAGGGTCTAAGAGACATAAACACAGGGTCAGGGACTCTTGTGGTCTCTAAGAACCTCCATCAGGGTCTCTACAGAGTGAGACCTCTTCAGTTTGTTCATGCTGAACTTCAGTGAAACTTAAAGTCCACGTCTACTGATGACATTTCACATGAACAGAATGACACAAACTCCATATGGCCGACTTCCTGTTTCAAAACTGCACCCTAACATACTAACATACTAATATACAAACATACTAATATACTAAACATATTAAAATACTAATATACTATCCATGCTAAGATAGTATTCATACTAACATAGTCTTCATACTAACATAGTATTCATACTAATGTTTTATTCATACTAACATAGTATTCATACTAATGTACTATTCACAATAAGTATGATTTAAAATTGACAATGTAGTTTGTTGATTTAGTTTCCATTGAGTGGACCAGATCAAGTTTTTGTATTAGATGAACGATATTCATTAAATGTGATCGATACAATCACGTGACCGTATTGGTGACGTGATCAATACAGTCACGTGAAGAGAAGAGGTTCAACTGAACAGAGACACAAAGACAGAAGAGATTAAAGGAAGCGCTCACACACCCACTGACACACACACACTTACTCACTCACGCACACACATACACAGGTTTTGTCAGGAGAAATTGCTCAGTCCTGCTCTCATCTATCATTCTCTCACTGAGTGGATCGCTGTCTGTCATCTTGAAATACAGCACTTAGATTGGCCACTATACAGACAGTGTGTGTGTGAGTGTTCGTGTGTTTCAGGTGTTTTT